TTAAAACGTACCCAACTGCAACTAGGAACACTAACGTTTACCCAACTCAGATGCATTAAGTTGAAATTTTATGGATATCAAATTCACGTGTGGTCTAAATACATGCGAAGATACCGAAGAAAGAAATAGCGGACACTGCTCGGTGGAAAAAAAGAGGCGGAAATTAGAACAATGCAAAACCAAAGCAAGAAAATAACACGTTTTTGGCCCATTAAATTGTGCAAACGTTTCAGTTCAGTACCGAACTGACGCGAATACTTCACGGACTAGATGCTTGGCTGATCCGAAACCGCTCTCAGTGCAAGAAATAGAATGGAAAGGAAGAGTCCCAGAAGCCCAGCCAAAATTGGTCGTCCCAAGCAGGATCGAAAGGGAGGTCGAAGTTGTGAAGTAATAATTTGTAACTTTTTTCAAAGATTTTCGAGTGAATTAAACAACTTACTCGAACGATAACTTTCTCAGATTGATAGGCTTGCACGATTGCATCATGGCCATCAGCAGTACATGCAATCAATCGCACAACCAGCAAAAAGTATTTCTGGTCAGGATTTGGGCGACCATTCTTCCGCTGATTGTTCATGGTTGTCTCCGAGAAATGTAGCCTTGGCACTGTCACTTTTGTCATACGCCGTTCATGGATTTCAAGCCTGAAAAATTACCTGAGCGTATCACAAAGATAACAAAAATCATTACTAATCCATCACTATCCGCTTCAGATTTCTGTGTTATTCTACGCTTTTTCAGCGCTGTTTTGAAACAAAAAATACATCGGTTTCTTGGATAATATAGACCTAGACTACAGTTAATTACGCCACGAGAAACTTTCCGGTACTTTCAAAATCAAGTTACTAATGTTAATTTACTTCCACGGGCACAACAGTGAGCGACAAGTAATGCTGCAAAATTGAAAAAAAAGTGAAATAAGTCACTAAAAATGTATTTTGAATGTAATAAGTTTACTGCTCACATCACAATTATCTAAAATCGTGCTGCAAAAAAGATATCTTGACACAAAAGGCTTATGACATATCTGCAGCTTCGAGCTTCCGAAACTGTTGCTCCAGGCCCTTTACATAATGCTTATGAAAAACGGAGGCAATTGGAAATGACCCAAACAAAAGTACTTTATCACTTAATCAGCAAAATTCAACCAGCATATAGCCCATTGTTTCAAGTATTCAAGTAAGTAATCACCCAGAACTAAGGCTATCATTGATTTCCTCATCGTTTTTTACCCTACTTGAACAATCAGCAAAAATTATCAAGGCAACAAATCAACTTCAAAATTTTTCGAAAAAAATTAAAAAATTCCCAAAAAATATGGTTCATTAACTTACGAAACAGGATCATGCGGTACAGGACGTCGATCGGTTGTCGACTGCTTGATCTGTATTTCGGATGTTGGCATTTCACTCTTGACACCACAGAATGCCAACTTGAATTCCTTGACCATTTTCAACTCATTGCCTATTTTGACGAAATTTGGTGGATGGTTATCAATAGCCTCAATATGTACTGATATCTGAAATGTAGCAAATTTGCAGTCTTTTTTTGTCCACAAATCACAACTTTTGCCAGAAAACTTATTTTTTTTAAACTAAAAAAATTCTGGCTTCAAAAAATAAAATTTTTATTACCACGCTTTGGTAACACCTCTGCCTTTCGTAAATAGTGGATTTTAGACCAACTCTAAACTTTAAAAGAAAAGAATTATCAGGCTGCTGCTAGTCTGATACAGAGGAAAAGCACAGTCTTCTTTCAGAAGTGACATGTACATTTGTCTGTGGTGGATAGGAGGCTGTACTTATTATCCTCATTTCAACTTGCACGAAGCTACTCTGTCCATATTAGCAATCAAAAGATCAGCTTTCAGCCTATTTCTCAAATAATCCCCCGGAAAAAGTGGCTAATATTAGAAAGGTATTATCGCAAAAGCCGATTTCCATTGCTTCAATGTCTAATCGCTTAAAAAACTTCATGCTCGAGTCCTAAGTCACCTGTAAAATCCGTGCTTCACCTCTTAATAATTGCTCACAAAATCCGTGCCTCAGTCCATGGCTCAATCCTAAATCCATGATGCCTCATTAAAATCCATGCCTCATTCCTAACGCTTACGAAATCCGTATCTTAATTATTAGTCACTCGTAAGATCGGCATTTCAGAAACAGCATTTACTTATTAAATCTGCATGCCGCATACCTGGAAATGATTTTTCTTCTGATTCACAAAGCAATTGTCCATCATGCTGTAGTTGAATCCTTTATCAGCAACAACATGCATTTCCAGTTGATGCAACGGTCTCTGATTGATGTCGTAGAGTGTGGCCCAGTGTTCTTCATTGAAACGAGCAAATTTGATTGCTTGCTGATGGAAATTATCATCGAAATCCTCCAGCGCAGTGACTGGCGATGGAATTACAGTCAGTTGGCTGGGAAGTGTAAAGACCTGCAAAATTTTTTATATTTTAATTTTAATATTTTAACATCACCTTAAAATTTTTGATAAATTTCAATGCTTTAATATTCTAAAAAAAACTGTTTCTATTGAAGTTTTACAATCAGCAAAGAAAAGATGACAGCTGAAGTGGCTAGGATGACAAGTAATGGATGGATGGGATGTGATACGGTAAAATACCGTAACCCGTTGTACAGAACGCCCTACGGTACTTTGTATGTAGAACAGCTCCCTTTCTGTAAAGTTTTTTTTAAAAAATACTGTATAATTTACATCTATATCTTACACCAAAAAAAAATCGTATAATTTTTTCTCAATTACCGCATCCAATCATAATAAATGATATAGTGCTCGAATGCTTGCTAATGGCCC